TTAGGGGGGTAGAGCATAATTTTAAAGTCAACAGACATCAGGTTGTTGAGTTATGTGACCACACCCTTATTTACCCTCGCGAGTCGTGATTTTCACACTAAATACGAGATATCTCGGCTTCTGATTGAACTACGTGCTCATCCTGGGCATTAAAATGTTCAGAATCATCACATTGAGTAGGGTAGACCACAATTTCAAAGTCCTCAGATGTCAGGTTGTCGAGTTATTAGGCCACAACCTGTTTTTACGCTCTCGCGGGTAGCGATTGCAGCGCTTAAAATCAAAATAACTCAGCTTCCAATTGAAGTTAGGAGCAAAACTGGGGCAGCAAAATGTTCACAATCATCACATTGAGTGGGGTAGAACGTAGTTTCAAAGTCCTCAGACGTCAGGTTGTTGAGTTATTAGGCCCCACCCAAATGTTTACGCGCTCGCGAGTCACGATTCGACGCTTAAAATCAAAATAACTCTGCTTCTGATTAGAGTTAGGAACTAAACTTGGGCATACAAATGTTCAGAATCATCATATTGAGTGGGGTAGAACGTAGTTTCAAAGTCCTCAGACATCAGGTTGTTGAGTTATTAGGCCCACACCATAGTATTTACGCTCTCGCGAGTCGCGAGTGGACACTTAAAATCAAAATAACTCTGCTTCTGATTAGAGTTAGGAACTAAACTTGGGCATAAAAATGTTCAGAATTATCATATTAAATGGGGTAGAACGTGGTTTCAAAGTCTTCAGGCGTCAGGTTGTTGAGTTATTAGGCGGAACCCTATTTTTACGCTCTCGCGAGTGGACACTTAAAATCAAAATAACTCGGCTTCTGATTAGAGTTAGGAACAAAAGTTGGGCATGGAAATGATCAGAATTATCATATTAAGTGGGGTAGAACGTAGTTTCAAAGTCTTCAGACGTCAGGTTGTTGAGTTATTAGGCGGAACCCTATTTTTACGCTCTCGCGAGTCGCGAGTCGACATTTAAAATCAAAATAACTCGGCTCCTGATTAGAGTTAGGAACAAAAGTTGGGCATGGAAATGTTCAGAATTATCATATTAAGTGGGGTAGAACGTAGTTTCAAAGTCTTCAGACGTCAGGTTGTTGAGTTATTAGGCGGAACCCTATTTTTATGCTCTCGCGAGTCACGAGTCGACACTTAAAATGAAAATAACTCGGCTTCTGATTGGAGTTAGGAACAAAACTTGGGCACGGAAATGTTCAGAATTATCACATTAAGTGGGGTAGAACGTGGTTTCAAAGTCTTCAGACGTCAGGTTGTTGAGTTATTAGACGGAACCTTATTTTTATGCTCTCGCGAGTCGCGAGTCGACACTTAAAATCAAAATAACTCGGCTTCTGATTGGAGTTAGGAACTGAACGTGGACATAAAAATGGTCAGAATTATCACATTGAGTGGGAAAGAGTGTGGTTGTACGGGATTTAGAGAGTATTCACTGTTTGCTCTGGGCGAAACTTACTTTTTCTGGTTATTAATTTAATTTTCAAACTACTTTTACCATTGCAGTTGTGAGCAATTCATCTTGGCCAGGAACAAGAAAGAATAATCACATTATTTATCGTATAAGGTGACCTATAAGCCTTGTAGGTCACCTTATACGATAAATAATGTAATTAAGGTCGACGTAAGTTCGTCAAACATAAATAGAAAAATAGAACTCAATACATGAGATCATAAATAGAAGTATTAGAACTCAATATTTGAGATCATAAATAGAAACATAGAACTCAATACATGAGATCATAAATAGAAGCATTAGAACTCGATATTTGAGATAATAAATAGAAACATAGAACTCGATATTTGAGATCATAAATAGAAGCATTAGAAATCAATATTTGAGATCATAAATAGAAACATGGAACACAATATTTGAGATCATAAATATAAACATAGAACTCAATACATTTGTTAATAATAATTGAAATACGTCGTCTGAAAACTTTAAAACCGCACTCTACCCCATTTAATATGATAATTCTGGACATTTCTATGCCCAAGGTTAATTCCTAACTCTAATCAGGAGCCGAGTTATTTTGATTTTAAGTGTCGACTCGCGACTCCCGAGAGCATAAAAATAGGGTTCCGCCTAATAACTCAACAACCTGACGTCTGAAGACTTTGAAACCACGTTCTACCCCACTTAATATGATAATTTTGAACATTTACATGCCCAACTTTTGTTCCTAACTCTAATCAGGAGCCGAGTTATTTTGATTTTAAGTGTCGACTCGCGACTCGCGAGAGCGTAAAAATAGGGTTCTGCCTAATAACTCAACAACCTGACGTCTGAAGACTTTGAAACCACGTTCTACCCCACTTAATATGATAATTCTGATCATTTCCATGCCCAACTTTTGTTCCTAAATCTAATCAGAAGCCGAGCTATTTTGATTTTAAGTGTCCACTCGCGAGAGCGTAAAAATAGGGTTCCGCCTAATAACTCCACTCTACCCCACTCAATGTGATGATTGTGAACATTTTGCTGCCCCAGTTTTGCTCCTAACTTCAATTGGAAGCTGAGTTATTTTGATTTTAAGCGCTGCAATCGCTACCCGCGAGAGCGTAAAAACAGGTTGTGGCCTAATAACTCGACAACCTGACATCTGAGGACTTTGAAATTGTGGTCTACCCTACTCAATATGATGATTTTGAACATTTTAATGCCCAGGATGAGCACGTAGCTCAATCAGAAGCCGAGATATCTCGTATTTAGTGTGAAAATCACGACTCGCGAGGGTAAATAAGGGTGTGGTCACATAACTGAACAACCCGATGTCTGTTGACTTTAAAATTATGCTCTACCCCCCTAAATGTGATGATTCTGAACAACTTTAAAGCCAAGCTGAGCTTCTAATTCCAATTAGAAGCGGAGTTATTTTCATTCTAAAGTTGCAAAAGCGCAAAAAAAGGGCGTGGTCAATTGCGCAAAACTGCACCATAGCCAAAATTTCTACCCAAGCCAAATTTGTTTCTAATGGGTCCCTTAAGGTATTCCAAGTCTCAAACCCCGGGGCGGAAGTTATATAGACGGGAATGTCGTCAGATCCATGACTACTTTGAGAATGACTCAAATCCGTTAGTCACCAAAAAGTACCTTTAACTTACCCAAAAACATAGTTTTCGGGTATTCTACTTGTAGCTGCTGGCCTCTTGAGCGTATAATTTAATATAGCTGGTTACTCCTTCATGAATTAATCTAGTCTACAGATGTTTGAAACCCCCTCCGTTATCAGTTTTACAAATAGCTATTCTGTCAAAATTACGCTAGCGTAATCATTTGGAAAATTTGGGTTCAGTTGTCGTGGGAACTGTTTTGGAACTAGGTCCAATTGGGTTCAGTCGTCGGTCACCCTTATATTATAAAGAACGTGATATTTGTCCCTCAGATTTAAAGGAGAATGCGCAAATTTGGTCCTCAGATTTAAAGAAAATGTGCAATTTGTCGCGGAGAACTAAAAAAGCGCAATTTTAACAGATAGTTTTAAATCAATTTTTTCCTTTTCACCCTTTTGTAAAAAGGCAATAGTGAAAGGTTACGAATGGAGGTTCGTTTCATCTACAACATAGAAGATAGAACCACGGACTTGATTCCCTTCTATAAGAAATCCCACATACTCATCTTTAATGCAGGGACTAGTATTTTTTCTACTAATTGGGGCCTCACAACCCCCCATACCCGAGTGCTTTCCATTCCATTTTTGAGAGTTTGACTTTTAATTTCCTTTACCTAACATCCTTTAGTTTTAAATATAATTTTCTGATATAATTGGAGTATTAACCCTTATCTTTATTGGATACCGAAGATGTCCAAAAATATTTTACCAATGATGTTATAAAGATTTTGTTGGAACTTTAACTCATTCGTTGTCTGACTGTGGGAACTATTGATTTTTGAACTCCCTATACTTAAAGAGTTAGACCAGCGAATCTTCTTTAAAGTCTGTCTATTAACCCACAAATCAGTTCATGGTACTGCACCTGGTTACCTTAAATAAAAGAATCACTGGATGTGGATGTAGTGGATACAGAACTTTCAAACACCATGACCAGGTCGAGGAGACCAGGTGACGATCTCATGCTCAAGATACCAACGAATAAAAAGTCCAAAGTTGATGACAGACGTTTCTCAAGCCATGTACCGGTTGCATGGAACTCTCTTCCACGGATGTTGAGATTTATGTAATCAGTTTTGAAGTTTATTTGTTTGTTTTTGTTTTCATTTGTCTTCACTTTGCAAGACACCTTGGCTTTTATTTTTTACCGCACTCCATTTTACGTCTTGTTCTCTACCTTTCTAAGTTTCTTCATTTTAGGACCTGTTTCTTTTTGGTTGATTATGTCACTGTACTAACCTTTATTATACCTACATGTACTGTATGGTTTCTGCTTCTTCTTAGTTTAGTGTGGTTTACAATAAAAGATGTTTTAATTTTATCTATGCCTTATACTTTTGTTCACATTTTTACACATTTGCTCACATCACTCACAGTCAGCCGCTCCGACATGGTTAACCACCTTCCTTGTGTTGTTGGTTAATCATATGAGTGGGATATAAATACCTCATTTCATTTCAAATGTATAGATTTGTGTAAAATATTGTAGGTATTTCATGATATTGATATTTATATAACAGATTATTTTCACCATTGTAAATTGCAGCTTTGTAAGAAGTAATTGTAACGTCTCGTCCATGACAAAGGTGTGGGCCGGAACGTCGACAACTATTTGTTTGAAAAACTGAGTGGAGACTCTCACTTTGTCCCATAACATCAATTATTTGACCGAACCACTCAAAAGAGCGAAAACAGATTATTATTAGAGAACTTATTATTAATTGCTCCTCGCTTACTTCTCACACCTGAGATCCGAAGCAAAGGACCTGGCATGTAACCTAATTGATGTTGAAAGTTTGATATTTCTTCTGGCAGTTAGTTAAATCAAAAGCAACTTTTTGTACCAACAATCTCTATTTTTACATTATATTTCATATCACTACAACTATAATTTTGAAATTTGTATTGTAAATTCAGTTCAAAAGTCTAAGTCTGCGTAAAACTTGAGCATGCTTCAGCCTTTTTGCGATCATTACTGCGATCTACTCGTCACAGGTTGGGACATCACATTCAGCATATCTCTTCGCGTCCATCGTGTAACACCAAGCTGTAGGATCTCCTGTAAAATAAAGTATTAGGGGTCGTTCACATATTACGTAATCAGCCGAGGGGGGAGGGGGTTTCCAAATGCTTACGGTTGATTACAGGGGAGGGGGGGGGGGGGGGTGTTTGGTTGTTGATTACGTAATCAAAATTTTATTTTTACTCTCTACAATAATAACAATTTGACAATATTTTAGTGTGGGGGGAGGGGGGGGGGGGGTCATGCCATGATTAAGTAATATTGCTGTCAGGAGGGGGGTTGGCTCTTAATAACAGTTGATTACGGAGGTGGGGGAGGGGGTTAAAATTACTTAACTATTGATTACGTAACATGTGAACGACCCTTTAGGGCACTTGTAAGAATTTAAGTTGTACTTTCGGCGCTTTAGATGGAATTCACTACAGGCATATATAATTTGTAAGTCACTAAAATCAATTTAAGGTCATGGGAATAATTACCATCTGGATTTCGGCAGTAATTTTCCTCCAAGCCATAACCAGGGTATTCCTCAGGGGTTCTGTCGTGAGAATGAGGTGTCTGGGAGTCCCACCGCTGACAGGTCTTCCCATCTGCTGTTACACTGATGTTCCCCCGATAGTCTCCCTGATCCCCATACCCGCACTTGGTCAGATCTGGACAGTCACCTTTCAACCAAGTGGTTTGTGCAGTGTCTTCCCTAGATGCCTTGTTCTTGTGGAGGCTGTAGCCAAGTTCATCACTCCCCGACACGCCCACGCATAGTTCTTCATGGAAGTCGCACATCTGTTGAGCTTCCAGTTGTGTGATAGCTGTTGCCATCGCGATCTTGCTTATCAATTTCACATTGTCCATCTCGCAGTATTCCCCGATAGGAGGGGGAGTGAACTGTTTGCAAAGTCCCTTGCTGTACACATGACTTCCCTTATTAAATGAGAGATCTCCTGCCATCAATGTGAATGCACCATCGGAGGATGTTGAGATTCCGGTGCAAAGTGGATTTGAGTAACAGTTGCTTTTAGCACTGTTCAAATCTTCATACTTAGTCTTATACTCCTGGCTGCCTGGTAGTCTGTCTGAGTATTCAAAGTCCAAGAGCTCACACCATTTTTCAAGTGAACAGTCTGGAACGTTGCAGTATTCCCATCGTTCTGAAGAATCCGTTGTGTAACACCAGGCTCTTTCGTCATTGTCTGGATTCCTGCAGTAGTTCTCCTCAAGACCCTTGTATTGATGCAATTCTGGTTTTGCGGTGTGCGAGTGAGGTTCTTGGGAGTCCCATCTCTGACAGTCCCTCCCAGAAATAGTTGTATTGATGACTCCCCTGTATTCCAATTGCTTGCCGTCCCCACAATCCAACCGTATTGCTTCACTTTCAGTACCACTGCCTTGTCCATCATCACTCCCCTCAATGTACGGGTAATGAGCATCACTAGCAACCTGGCACATGTTCAAGCTGTGACCGTTTACTCCACGTTTCATGTTGATGTGTCCCCCGTCCCCCCATGTTGGCCCCCAACTGTTCCGCAACCTCCAGAACGGGACACCGTTCAATTTTCCATACCCTACTATGGTCACACAGTGGCCAGAACCGCCATCGTTGCAATCATCGCTTGAGTATACACCTTCGCTGTAAGAAGTGAAATCAGATGCCAATTGGATGCAAGTAGATATTACGCCTATTTTGCTGTTACCCACTGCAACGAGAAGGTCTTCATCATTACCAGTAAGTATGTATTCTCCACTTACTTCATAGATTGTAAACCCCGATATCGCATTTTTGTAGTCATTGTTTCTACATTCCAAGGAATTTTCTGCTTCATACGGGTAGTTGTAAGTCGAAGGAAAATGGCTGTAATGATTATGTACCCACGTGTAAACGCTAGTAGGCCAACCACCCCCGCACCCATTACCATGACGGGCGCAGTCTACACACTGCTGCTCCGACAGAGCCACCATCTCTTCTCCGACTGTTCGGTCTTTGTTTACCTGGTACTCAAGTGTTGCCGTCGCTGTGAATGCCCAGCATGAACCACAGGCCCCTTGGTTCTTAACGGGAGGGAGGTATGGCGTGTAATCTACGTCTCTAGCTTCAAGTTCTTCTATCACGGATCTGTCAACTACTAAATCTACTTGTCTTTTCTTTCTTGGAGAGCTAGAGATCTCTTCATCCACCGGCCGTGTCAAGTTCCCACCTAAATGGTGGCTGAACTCTTCGTCTGTTTCCAAAGAAAATTGGTTGATAGTTGCAACCCACTCAAGATTACTTTCCAAGTTGTGATCCAAGACCAATTTAGCATTCTTCTTAAAAGCACGGAAGTGATTTTTATCTTTCAGGAGGTCGGTTGCAGAGGCATCGAGATAACTTTTCTTACCAGCCTCGAAATCAGGGTCTTTGTAGTGAACAACGGTACCTTTGTAGAGTTCTCTGACGTTCACTCCGTCAATTATCTGTCTTTTCATTCTTTGTCTGAAGATCTCTTCATCGACCTGGTCTTTCATGTTCTCTCCTTGTGCTACCCAGCAACCGCCGAGCAGACCTATTAGGAAGAATAGCATTTCCTAAAAGTTAGATGTTAGCTTACTTGTACTGCTGACTATTACCTGGCACGTGCCAGAAAACCTTACCGGCCAGGGTCTATTTCCGAAAGTAAAATAGATATTGACGTCCGGTTTTTAATATTCAGGAGTAGTGTTATACAAATAGTAAGATGTTAAAAAAGCTTACTTTTATAACTCTATGATATGCAGTGATAACATTTGCGAGATGTCATCATTGCATAAAACGCTCACAGGCTTCTACGTCTCGTGTAACCCCAGGATTTGGTTTTGGATCGGACACCCAAAACAACAATAGTGGAGCGGTCTACACGCTCACAGGCTACCACGTATCGTGTAACCCCTGGATTTAACATGCCACAGGCTACAACGTCTCGTGTAACTCAAGGATTTGGTTTTGGATCGAAAACTCAAAACAAGTATAGAGAGCGGTCTACAGTGACGTTTCAGGTTGGAATTACTCTTAGCAATATTCATAGACGGTTCAAAAATAGGGAAATATTCAGGAGCAGAATACTGTGTGATTCGAAATATAAACATATAAGCGAGGGCCAGAGACAAGTTTCCACTTACTCACTTAGACACTCAGGTGTATCAACTGTTTGACGATCCCGTTAAACAGATTTATAACATGACAGCTAGGCCCGTTTACAAAAAAATGTCGGTAATCCATGCACAATTCAGTGTAAAGTGATTTAGCATGCTCGTGGTACCATCACTATCAATAACTGGATCAGCAATATTATCAGTACTGCAGTTTATAGATTTGTATTATACTATACTGTACGGCATATGTTATAATTATAGTAACACCTTGGACATGAAATAAGCAAAATGAATGTGAGAATATACATTGACTCAATAAAAAGTTAGCTCGGAGATTTAAGATTAGGTACTAAAATTATTCTACACTGGATCTTCGAGATTTTTCAAAATACGGGACGACGTCACCAAGGCTAATGCTTGTCCAAGGGCCAGGGCCCTGTCTAACTTTAAAAGTTTAAACGGATAATGTTTTAATGAAAATGTGTACGTCATGTAATACCTACGTCATGACTATTGACTAGCTAGTAGCTCTCGTTAACAATCACGCGATACATAAAGACACTATTCACTGCTTTGGTTGTGGTTGATATTTTTTGATGCGGTAAAATATCGTTTACGTAATCCGAATACATTGTCGTCAAATAAAATCCATACTTTCTACAGTACAGAGCTAGATAACGAAAAGAAATTAAAACATAACTGATTTTTAAAATTTCCCCGTACAAAGCTTTTATTTCGGCCAGCAGGTTTTTTAGTAATATTTAATCTCTATTAAATATATTTCTGTTCGTTTTTCCGACCGCGTGCAAATTAAAAAGTTGGATAGTAACTCGAGTGGAAAAAATTTTAGTCTACCGGATCTTTGACCTTGATACGATGTCAGAGAATTAAAGAATTAAGGGGGCAGCGATAAATCCGGCTAGAAACAATATTTTTCGATGGGATCAAAAGCAGCTGATTGATATTACTTCCCTCTATTACTATTAGAAACAACAAAAAATTCGAATCCGAGAAAATGTTTATGAAGACCACCCTCCCTCTGCCTCTTAACATTTTCTCTAACAGCTTTGAAATCTCCGATCTCGAGCGACGATCCTTTACTAACTTGCAGTAGGTACTCTATTTCACTGTTTTCCACTTATCTTGTTCAATTATGCGGGAATGTATAATCTTCACTGGAGTGCGACTATTCATCACTACACGTTTTATTTAATTATGTTTAGCCGCCCTGTCACTCCATTGAAAGTTAACACAACGAGAGAGAATTTGCGAAGAAACGAGAAGCCTTACTCAGGAACCGAGTACCTGTCTAGGGATTTGGCTGCATGACTGGAATCGGCCAGATATCAATAAATCTTCCTTTTTTAAGACCAGAATCGAGTGGCAAACAGGAAAATTAAAATCTCACTAAAAAGTTTTAAGATTTCCGACCGCTCGCTGCTAAATCTCAGAAAATTAAAAAATGTATCCCAACAGTTTTGAAATTTCCGATTTCTTGCACTTCATGCCATAAGACCCTGTGATCCTATGTTAAGGACCCGGCATGTAGACTTTCTAACCGGATCTGATTTCGAGACATGCTTTTAGGTCTCAAGATCAGAATGTGAGAACCCGGAATGTTACCTGAAATCCCTACATACATTTTTTGTTTATACAATTTGCCTGAAAATCTTGAAATTTCCAGTTGATATGCTGTCACGCAAGGATATTAAGCCGTATATCCGGCTGGAATCGGATTCATCCGGATATATTCGATTGGTTCCTAGTCCCATCACCTCGCGGTGGAATCAATTAATGATTATATTATATGGTGTTTATCGGGAAGCTAAATTTCATGTGTCAACAAACAATCTCGAACCCACTCCGAGAAACGAAGTAACTTCATCCGCCAACTTTATCGACAGAGTCAACACATAAGTCAAAGTGCGGTGAGCGCAGAATCGAACTATTGTCATTGACCTAATCCAACCAACGGAAGACAATGAATTATGAAATGAATAACTAGTCAAGCTGGATCACAATACCTGAACATTTAAAATATAATTTGAAACATTACAGTAACGTTATTCAAATCTCAAACAGAAACAGTATATAACAAAGTTTTGTGTTTTGATCATATGATCGTGGATGTATAGTGATTGATTGCATAATTTTGAATTTGATTGATGGTGATTGTGAGTGAGAAGATGTTTGGAGTGCCAGCCAGTAACTCTGTCAAATGAACAGCCCATTGAAGAGCGAATGAGCGCAATTGCGCAGGAACAGCAGAGAGGGTGGCACAAAACGGCACACACGGAAAGGACGAAACAAAAAAGAAAAAACGCCGTGCGCGGTAAGCTTGCCTATGTCTGAGAGCTGGTGTTACCTGGCAAGAGGCCTCGAAGGAGGTGCCGTGGTGGAGTGTGAAGGGAAAGTTCGAGAGCACGGCAGCTCTAACTGATGATGATGATTGAAGAAGGAGGTCGAGCGGGAAGCTCAGAAAAAGCTAAACAGGAAGGATCCAGCTGAGGTCTGACTCATGTCAGGAAGTGATGAAAAACTCACAGACAAAATCATCAGTGGCTGTCTACCCCGTACGTAGGCAGTGTCCAAGATTTCAGGCATCAGGATACACTGGAGCAGTGCAGAGCTGATTACGACCAGGGTCCTCACGGATACCCTGTCTTGGAGGTCGAGCCAATGCCCTGCGTTCGGTAATTGTGTCTACTGATATAGCCTTCATACTTTCCCTACTAACAGTCACTGTAACTCTATCACTCGGAAGGCCCCACGGCTCCTACATGGACGCACGGCCGGGAGCCCATGTAGGGATAAAAGTGACCGCAAGAAATCCATCACATCCGTCACAGATCCAAAGCTGGAAAAGAAAAAAAGGCGGAAAGAAAAAGGGGAAAAAAAGAAAGGAAGAAAGGAAGGACTGAAAGAGGAAGCTAGTTATTTACATTTAGACTTTCTTTGAAGTTGAGGGTTAGTCTGTAGATTTTATTAATGGTGCTGGTCGAGAGTTTGATCAAACTTACGTCCTCATCGCTGAGTTTGTCCATGCAATCGGGTTGCGAGATAAACGTGGAGGCAAGATTGAAGCTACCATTTCCGTCAATGCTGACTAGATTTCCACTGAGGCTTTGAAATCTGTCCCTTGGAACTTTCCCTAGGGGGCAGGAATGGAGCATATGGTTCTCGTCTTCGATGATTAGCTGGTTGATGTTCAGCTCGCAATAGTTACAGGTCCTTTCATCAAGTGGAGTTTTGTCGTACCTCCCCCTTTCAATTCTAAGGTGATGAGAACTGGACCGAATCTGTGTGGTTGCCCTTCTGTCCTGGAAAGACCTAGCGTGGTTTAGATATGGCTCCCATCCAAATTCTTTTTTGACTTCACTGTAGAATGATAGCTTTCTAGAATCTTTCACAAGAGAACCCCAGGAATCACGGAATAGTTTTCGCAGGTTCTCTGTCATCAATCCAGGGCTGCAGGAGTCCGCGAGGAAGGTTGCGTTGAGCAACGATGATGAATTCCTGTCAGGAAGGTCGATGTTGTTAAATGACTTGATAACTGATTCGATGCCTACAAACCATGACAATTTGAGGTTAATCTGCTCAGTCATTGCAGCTTTGACCAGTTGTGTTGAGGGAAGGCTCATAACTCTTTTGAAGTATTTAGTACTCAGTTTCAACATCTCAATTATAATTGGGTATGAGCCAGTTTCTCCCCAGGCTGTAGCATTGACTGCCCTTCTGTTAATACCAAGAAGGTATTTGAGGTGACGTAGGTGCACTTGCTCCAGTTTCTGTTTTGCGATGTGGGAGACTGCATGATCAAGGTTGTGAAACTTGCTGAAGCAAGAGAGGACCTTACTGACGGTGGGTAGAACTGGGGCCCAAACTTGACAACCGTATAGTAGAATAGGCTTGACAAGGGTGTCAAATAGTTTGTTAAGGCATGATGCGTCAATGTATCTCCGGTCTATGGTGCTTCTCAAGCTAAAGTAAGCTCCGAGTCCCTTACGGTAGAGAGAGTCAGTTGCCTGCCGAAATTTCCCTGTGCTGCTTATAATGATTCCAAGATAGCAGTAGCTGGAGACCATCTCTATATCTCTGTCATGAATAGAAGGACGCCAGTTTGGAATGTCAGGTCCTTTACCGTTGAAGACCATGAATTTGGTTTTGGAGATGTTGATTTCCAGACCCCATTCGATACAGTAGTCCCCAATGATCGAAAGCAACTTTTGGAGTGATTCAGGATCTAGGGCGAGGATTACTAGATCATCAGCCCACGCTAGGTGAGTCACTGAGATACCAGCGAGAGTTGGGCAGTTCACAACGGCTTCATTGAGGAGGTCAGAAAGCTTTTTAAAGTAGACTTTGAAAAACTCGGGGCTGAGTGGATGTCCTTGTTCAGTCCCTTTGAGGATCTTGAATGCTTCACTGATTTTACCATTCATCTTGATATGACCCTCTGATTTACTGTACATGTCTTTGATGATGTCGT